AGCATAATATTATAAAATTTATAAAAAATATAGAATCTTAGCATCACTAGTAGGAATTTTTTTCAAATATTTTTAGCAAGGATAACATTTTGAATAAAAGAACAAAAAAGTAAATAAAGACTAAGGATTACAAGCTTTTTTGTTTGTAGACTAGTGATAGTTCAAATTTTCATAAATTTTCAGCTTTAAAGCAATGCAAATTTTACTACTACTTCTGAAACATATATATACAATGAAATCTCTTCTACACCAATTAATTTGATTGGCATTTCCGAAATGCATAATTCCTTTGCAGCTCAAATTTAAACGATGCCGTAAACTAATTTTTTGATATATCGAATATTTTCTCTCCAGCGTCTGTAATAAGCTTAAGTTGAGAATAAATGTAATATAAAACTTGACAGATTGCCGTATGATGTGCACTTAAAAATCCATCAAATATTAAAGAAATTGCTTTATGGAAGCACACTGAGACCACTGATTCCGTATAAGTGAACTGCAATTTTGATTCGAAAATTCACTAGTAAATATACTTGACGGGAAATATATATTAAACAAATATTTCGCTGTGAAAATATTTTTCAATTAAATTAATATGAAAAGAATATTTACTTTGCTTAAATAACTGAGATATACGAATTTATTGAATATTATTTTTGAATATATATTTTACAAAAATTGGTATATGGTGTTGACTTACACCGATATATCGATGTAATATATATAAGCTATAATTTTTTTAATTTTTAGATATTTTAATAATTATTTATTGCTTTCATTTATAAAAATACCATATACAGGAGGGGGTGATTTAAAGATTGTCTCGATTGATATTATTTGAAAATAAGTTTTCACTTATGGGTTACTTGAGTCAAGAACAGTTATATGTACTCTCGAAACTCTTAATATCAATGTCTTTGAACGTCTTCAAAACGTCTGAATGGCCGTATTTACTGTAAGTATAACTGTAAGATGAACGTTCCTTTCATAATTTATATTGATTAAGAACATTTTTTAGTTCATCTATGAGTATAGATTAAATAACTGCGCTGCCTTCACTCTGCATATATCAGCATATCAATGTTGATAGTGAGAATTAATTTAAATATTCAAGTGTTATTTGGTTATTTTCTCCATACTCCGACTTATAAATATGCCACACAATCCAGACTATCCAATCTATTGTACTTTGATTTCATTTTCATATCACACCTGAGCATAAATGAGCAATTTTTTGCAGTTTCTTTTTAAAACGATTTAGTGCAATATTACATAAATGTTATAAACTGAAATCTTCTTTCAAAATGAGTAAGAATATCTGACTCATTTAATTTAGTATAAAAATAAAAAGGAAGAAATTCCATAAAAGTAATATGCACTGAAGTTCATACTGAATTTCGTTAGTTTTAAAGTGCCAGCAGTGTATCTACTTTTGGTCTTATCCTGCATTCTTCTTCCTATTCCAGTTGTAATACAAATTCAATATTTATTTTCACTTCACCTACATTCCAGCTTTTATTTATTTTTCTTTGTTATATATAAAAACTATCTAGATACTGCACAAAGCAATTCGCATTTGAAATAATATTGATGATGTGTTCAAGTATTTGCAGTAATTTTAGAAAAATATTTTCTCTCAAATTTTTCACTATCCTTCACTATGTTATTACAATCCCTTCTATGTATTTTTCTTTAATTTTGTTATCCAAGTTTTATTAACATTTCATTTAGGTATCCTGTATTTGAGATAAATTGATCATATATAGTATGTCACATAAAATTTATTTCAAAGAATAATACCTAATATTTGGTTACAATCCTTACATATCTACATCTTCCTCCTTTTACATATTTGAAAGAAATTGCTTTTCTTTTGGTTTTAATATTCCAATTTTAAGTATTTGGTAAAAACTCAATAACTATTTTAAAATAATTTTTAGAATTAACTTATTTGTTGTCAAAACTATATAAACTATATATAAGATTATTTATTTTTTGGTTCTAAAAAAAAGGTGCGTGAAATTTACTAGAGATAAAATTTTTAGGCCTCGCCACAAGCAATGAAATACAACATCATCCATTGCGGTCCTCAGACCAGCTTACAGTACTGGATCTTTTCGAGGTAGTTTTTAATGACTTGTCTGCACATACCTCAACACACAACATCATTCAAATGTTCTCTATGCCATATCTTATAGTATCGAATATTTTAGAGGATGTTTTAAATGATTTATCGGCAAATACCTCGGTTGGTTTTTTAAAATTTTCTCAAATGTTTGAAGACAGTCCGCGTACACGTGATCGTTTGTATGGCACAAAAAAAATTGGGTGATGAGAAATTGCAGTATCTTATTTAATTCATATCACCAAAACGTAGAGTTACTAATCCAAAAATATATCGAACAACGCCAGATATTTAATGTGTTGTAAACCTAGTAGCACCGTTCCATTTTCTTACAGTTTCTAAACCGCGTACTTTGAAATGGTCATTGTTTTTAAAAAAGTTTGTAAATTCTTGATCTAATTTCTTGACCTGCTGTAAACTTATATATAAATAAATTTAAAAACTGCATAAATATTTTTGCAAACTAATTATATATATACTCGTATATAATTTCAATCGAATTATCAAGTTCAATGTTTAAAGACTTATTTGTATATAAATATAGAAAAGTTACGATATTTGAATAACTATATATATTCATACTTAATTTTTTTTGTTATAGTTGTAATTTAATTAATTTAAATTAGATCAACTTAATAAGATTGGAAAATAAAATATTTTGTATAAACATAAATTTTTTTCGAATTTTTGAACTGCGTAACCCTGCAATTGAGTGTATTCTGACTGTAATGTCATTTTCTATTTGAATTAAATCAAATAATGACATTTGAAAAATATTTTCTTCTTGGGTTGTTTCAGATTTTGTCCTGAAGAATCTTTTGTCCGAGAACTCAGAGATATTTAAAAAAAAATATTTTTCATACAATAGGTAAGTCTCAATGTATTGTATATATTGTATAATAATGAAAAATTGGGTTAAATAATTTTATGCAGGTAATGCAACCATTAGCTTTTGCTTAAACTGCAGTGCAGCTCTAGTACTATTTCAATTCATTTGGTTTTGGGTCCTAGAAGTTTCGTACCATTGTTTTGTGTCCCAGTTCACTCAATGTAAGTAATATGGAATTTTATTTGCATTCAACATACTTAATATCTAAAAATACATGAAATGCTAACATTCGATATCGGCCGAATGCTGTCAGATATATATGCAGACTTTGTGTGATAGCTAAAATAAAAACCTATAATTATAATTAATATAATAATAGTCATAACTAATAAGTATATTTAAAATCTATTTGGGTTAATTTCGGTCATTGGTAAAAGGCTTTATAAATCTTTTTAAATAGGCAAGTTAATAGAAATTATTATATGCTTTCCACATAGTCTCCATATTAAATTTATTATGTATATGTATTCAAAGCGGGTATTTCGTTATTTTGCTTTTAGTATTATTTACTTAAATTAATTTAGTTAAGGATAGTTAATAATATTTTTTGTATAAACATACTTTTTTCGAATTTTCGAGAAGCGTAACCCTAGCATTTATTCTGATAGTAATGTCATTTTTTCTTTTAAATTAAATCAAACAAAAATGACATTTGAAAAATATTTTCTTCTTGGATTGTTTCAGTTCTTCTCCTGATAAATCTTTTGTTCGAGAAAGCGGAGTTATTTAAAAATAAATATTTTTCTTACAATAGGTAAGTCTCAATGTATTGTATATATTGTATAATAATCAAAAACGGTTAGCAATAATTTTATGCAGGTAGTGCGGACATTAACTTTAATTTAAGTTCATTTCAATTCATTTGGTTTTGGGTTCTGAAGTTTCGACCATTCTTTTGCGGCCAATTTGACTGAATGTAAGTACCTTTACAACTATGTTGTAAGTTTTTATTTAATAATACAAAAATAAATGAATTTTTGACAATAACTATATATCTTCTTCTTTTTGTTGAGTTAGTGCTATTACGTACTTTTCCTCTATAATGGCTGGGAGGCTTATCTCTACCCCACACTAGGCTTTAACTATACTGCAAATATTATCATTTATTTATCTTTTAGCTGATGGTGGACATAAATTTGAAACCATGGCAACCAAAAAGAATGCTGTCAAACTATTTTTTGACTTTGAAAGACGATTTTTAAATAAAAATAATTAATATTGCTTACTAATCTAAGAATCGACTCAGTGCAAAAATATATCAAGGACAGAAATCAAATCTTAAATCCACCTCAGGACGCACAGAAAGATATGCTGATCTACGGTTCGCCATCAGTTAGAAGATAAATAAATGATAATGATTCTAGTATAGTGTGGAGCAGGGATAATACTTAAAATCTATATATAGGTCAGATCTTCAATATATTTTCATATATATTAATCTATATATCAATTTAGTTAAATACAAATCAAAGATATTATGCATAAATAGCAGGATTTTTCATTAAGAATTTTTATTTTTAGTGTATTACATTGAATATGGAACATCAGGTTAAGAAGGAACGTCGGAATACATCTTCTGATGAGGAATCCAAGCATCGTTATATGAATAAAAAACGTCGCTATCATTCTTCTGATGAAGAACGCGAGTCGCGTTACGGAAGAAAGAGGCGCCGCCATTATTCATCGGACGAAGATAAATTCCGGTAATTATAAAGAATAATATAACTTAATATATAAATGAGATAGTACATTAATATTAACTTTTAAATACATAAACTAGTAGTAGTAGTTTAAATAATCCTATTTCTTAACGCAAAGAACTTAATGAATGAAATTTTTTGGAACAGTCATAAAATGGCTAAGAATGAAATAAAAAAGAAACATATTTCAATTAACGAACTGAAACATCCAGATATTCAAATTAGAATAATATCAGAAGTATGAAATACAAAACTTATATCCGTGTATATATATACTCTTAATATAAATTTTGATTATAATTTAGTTGAAAAATATTTTTATTTATTTAATTACATACTTTATTCAGTCATAGTTCCTACAAGCGTAGACGTCGCTCTGAAACTTCTTCCAGCAGCTCAAGGAGCAGCAGTGGTACCTCTCGTAGTAGGAGTCTGACTAAGAGCCGAAGTCGTAGCTATAAGTCAAGCTCAGTTTCAAGTTCAGAAACTAGTTCGGTGTCCTCAGTTACTTCCAGCTCCAGTTCTCGTACAGATTCAAGCAGTGGATCTAGGTACCGTCATACTTACTACTCACGAGGAAATCATAGTTCTGGATATCATCAATCAAAAATGTCACGACATCAACGTATACCTGATCGCGTTAGTATCTAGCAATACAATTGAATGTAACTTTATTGAATATAAAATTACTCATATTTTTATATAGTATAAACCTAGACCAAATAAATGCTTAGCAATATTTGGTTTAAATGTTAACACGGCATCACTCAAGCTTCGTACATATTTCGAACGGTTTGGCCCGGTTGATAAAGCTGAAATCGCAAGGGAAGCTAAAGTAAAAGCAAATCTTATATACAAGTTTCTCTAACATAGTTATTGTTGACCTTTCTTTTTAGACCGGCGTCTCCAAAGGTTATGGTTTTGTGTACTTTGCTCATTTGTGCGATGCAAAATATGCCGCCGAGGAATGTGAAGATGATCATATTGTTGATGGGAAAAAGTTACGTTTAGATTATTCAATAACAAACCAGAATCAGTAATCCATACATAAAATAATCGATTGTGCAACTGACGTTTTAGTGATGTTTGTAGTTTTTTTTATTGTATATTACTGAAAACTACTAATTTATGCTATATGAAAATTATCGGTAACCCTAAATACGTTTAGTTCACAATTGCTACCGTTCCCGATTATGATACTATTTTTCTCAAAATACTAAAACTTGTTGAATAATCTAGTAGCTCTAAAAATATAAAATTTTGTTAGTGGCCATTATACATATGTATGTAATACGTATTTATATTATAAAGTATTATAATAAGTACTTACTAATATGGCATTTAACAAACAACAATCAGATTCAATTCTTGTATGATTTTCAAAAATTTTCGAAAATAAAAATTAATACATAAAATCTTTTAAATTTAACTTTTGCAAATAATTAATATTATTAATACCATTATTGAACAAATAAAGACAATCCATGGAAGGCATTTGCTGTTCAGTGATTTATACAAGCGGGTTTGAGTCCTGCTTGTGGACTCAAACTCTCTAATATTTCGGATTTCATCCAACACTAAATATAATGGATTTTTTTAAACTTATTGCTTCTTAACTTTGAATTAGTATTCAAAAATTTTACTTAAAAAAGTATCTATAAAAAAGTATCTATAGTCACCCTGATGATGAGTATAGATTATAGTCGAAATATTGGTAAAAATTATATCAGAACAGATTAGTATTGAAATTTAACAATTGAAAATAAAATTATAATTAATTAATTTAATTATTCTACAGCTGGTTTATGATTTCGATCTAATATAAACACAGCAAGTAAAATTGTTAATAAAAACTTTCGTAGTAATAGTAACAAAACTCCAGAAAAATATGCGAACAAAAAAGTCAAGTACGGCTTTGGATCAGTTGGTTAAGGTGCAGGTCTGAGCTTCACATTTGGCAGGACCCGAGTTCGATTCCTGGTACTTACAGTCTCAAAAATAATTATTTACGAATAATTAAATACAAGAATTATTTCCAAGACCACTGATGATGGGTATTTGGCAATACTCGAAGCAGGTGTATTGTCAGCCAAAAATTCAATTAATTAAAATAATATAAAAATAAAATTTTTGTTGTTGTATTCTAATACGGTTTTAAAAAACCTCTTTATAAAAATAAAATCTTTAAAAAGAAATAAGCCCGTATAAAACAATAAACAAAATTATTTTAAAAAAAAATTTTTGGTCATTAAAACAATAAATTATTAAAAATGTATCTGAATAAGGCATATATGGTAGATCTTGAATATTTTTAAAAATCTAATATTTGTTAAAAAACTTTATTAAATAATTGTATAGTTTAGCAGATTAAAAATTCTTCCAATATGAATTATAAAATCCAAGTACATTTTTTTAAGTTGCAAAAATCTCATATCTGAATTGAATAGTGTGAATAAAAGAACTTCCCTTTACAAGATTTAGTATAAAATCCGGCAAACTTGCAAAATTTAAAATTTTATTTTAAAATTTAAAAGTTAATTTTAAAATTTAAAAATTTATTTTTAAAAATTAAAAAAAATTTAATATTCAATGTTAAATTTCGTTTTTATAGAAAGAGAGTACTTGCCAGGCCGGATCTGTACTTAGCAGTATCGATTAGATTTTGCTTAAATTGTTCTGAGATTAAATTGTTAGAGTCAAAACTCTAAAGCAATCGAATTAGCTCATTCCGGTTAACAATATATTCATATAATACTTTTTTGTTTTAGAATTATTATTAATTTTTGAATGCATATTCAGATTTAGACATTTTTATCAAGGATCCTACAGATCGTTCATATTTACATATATATAGTACAATATACTTCTTCACTATTGTTTTTTTCATAATAAGGCTCCGTGTTGTGATGTAGAATATAAAGAAATCTAATAACGATTACTAATTAATCATTTTATTTTATTAAATAATAAATAAAATAAATGAATACTCTTGTGTCCGCTGTGTTTTTAAAAATAGTTAAGAAGGAAATGACCTGAACTATTATAAAAAGTTCGTAGAAAAATCTGTGCTTCATAAGCTAAGATACTTTTTTCCTGTGGTGGCTTCTAAAATATTGTCAAGTAAAAGTTTTTATGACTTTTCACAAATTATGTGCGGAAAAGTCACTCCTCTTAGCACGTGCAACTGAAGCTCACCAAGTGAGTGATAAATATTTTAGCAGTGCATGTGATTTAAGATTTTCGTCTGCAAATGTTAGAAGGACTTTATTACAGCAGGATGTGATTTACACATACATTTCTTCTTTCGTAGTATTTGAGTTTTTATCCCACAAAAAGTGTTGGATGAAATGAAAGGATTTGGAATAAAGGTCACGTAAAAAGTAAACAATGATTCCTTTAAAAAAAAATCCGTTAACCTTTTTTTGTAGTTTTTTGACTTTTTTTCTTTCCCTTAAATTGAAATTGTTTTATTTAAAAAGTTAAATCTTTGGAAAATAAAATACTTTCGTTTTTTTTGTTTGAATATTGTAACTAAAAAAAATTTCATGTCAAGTCATATGAAGGAATTCGTTAAAA